TTGGATGTGAACTGATCTAATGGCCCTTGATGTATTGAGGATATTCTCAGTTTTTGTTAGGAATACTGGTACAGTACTTCCATGTATACGTGTTTACTGCTAGGTATTCACAGGAAACAAGTGTCCGTCCTGCCATGGGAAATCAAACCCAGGCATTCCAAATTACTGTCTGTGCTTCAGGAATCAATGTACCAACTAGGTTTGGTTAAACATTGCTTTTAAATCTGTTGACATTTTACAGTTTTAAAGTTCTGACTGTGGCTGATTGGGTTTAAGCTTTCTACAAACCCAGGCATTTTTGTAATGCCTGAATTAATGTCTTATGCTGCCGTGGGAATCAAACCCATGCCATTTTGGATGTGAACTGATTTAATGGCCCTTGATGTATCGAGGGTATTCTCAGTTTTTTAGGAGTACAGTTCTTCCATGTATACCCGTTTACTGCTAGGTATTCACAGGAAACAAGTATCCTTCCTGCCATGGGAAATCAAACCCAGGCATTGCTGCTTGTGAACCAAATTACTGTACTGTGCTACAGGACTCGATGTCACAACTAGGTTTGGTAAAACTTAGCTTTTGAATCTCTTTGCCACTTAACCTACTGGTTTTAATGTTCTGACTGTGGCTGGTTAGGTTTAAGCATTTTAGCTTCATTAGTCTCTTCTTGGAGCTAATGGTTTTAATCGGCCTGCATTTATTTTTTCTCTTTTTAAAGCAGTGCCATTTGATGCTTCACTATTTTCAGTGAGATATGGTTTTCCCATTGTCTCCTGGTTTTAACTTGTAAGGGCTTGGACACAAGCACCTTCACACTACTGGGACATCATTTTAGAGACCTAAATTTGTTTGCTCCCTCATATGACATGCATCCTATATTGTGAAAAGTTATCACAATACTTTAAGCTTCATGCTAATAACCTTGTCGTTGACAAGAAGCCTTTCTACATGAAGGCACATTCTTATTTTTATTTAATTATTTTTAGTTTACACCATTTTACATGCATGTGATTTCCTTGGATTCTCTTGGTTATCCATGTGTGGCACTTATTATTTTATTTATTGTTTATTTAACCATTAATTTATTTTAAGTTTTGCATTATTTTTTATTTTTAACCCCTGTCACTCCTTGTGGGTGGCCGTCAGCATATCACCTTCGGGTGAGCATGATTCACGGTGATAACCTAGCTATCATCGGGAATCCCAAAGTAACCTTCGGTGCGTGGTTTAGGGTTCCACGTAACGTCAAAGCAGAGTTTTTGACGGACGATTAACCCTGGACCGGCCCGATAGTCGCAGACCTCAACGTGGTGGGCCGGTGAACATGGAATATCACACTGTTGTAATGGTATTCCATGGCCAACTTGCGACTATTAGTTAGCTAATTTTGTCGAACATGCAATATCACATTACTGTATGTATTGTGGTGGTATTCCATGGCCAACTTACGACAACTATTAGTTAGCTAATTTTGTCAATTTTGTTTATACATAAAAATTCTTGTACTGTACCTCTGTACTTACAATTTATTACATTACTGTATTGTTAAACTTGTACAACAGTAAAAAATCTCAACATTTCATATATATTACTTTTGCACATGTACTGAACATTGTCAAAGTTTGTATAAGTGTAAGAATCTTTTTGACCCTTGTAAATATTATGTTTATTTAATATTTGCAGTAGGATTGTTTTGTAATGAAGGTATTATTTTGTTACATTCATTACTGAAATGTCAATGTTACATGACCTCCTTTAATTGCTTGTGTGTACTTAAGCACACTGCTTAGTTGTAAATTTTTAAACATTGAGGACATTTTGTTTTTTTACTAAAAAAATTCATCTTACAGCTAGGCAGGCATCCAGTGAAAGTCAACATGCCTGATTAAGTGCCTATCCTGCCTTGGGAGTCAAACCCATGCTCTTTCGGTTTTGGACTGACTTGACGGCCGGGAACGATCCGGGTGTTCTCAGGTTCTAAGGAGTAATTTCATATTGACCTATTTGCTGCTAGGTATACATAGGCACTGAATGAAAGTAAACGTGCCCGATTAAGTGTCTGTCCAGCCGTGGGAATCAAACCCAGGCCATTTTGGTTAATGGGTGTTCGCAAAATTTTACGGAATAATTTCGTATCAATCTGTTTGCTGCTAAGTATACATAGGCACCGAGTGAAAGGTAGCATGCCCGAATACGTCTGTCCTGCCATGGGAGTCAAACCCAGGCTATTTTGGTTGAGAACTTGACAAGAATGCCCACATCCTCAATTGTTGATACTTGAGGATATTCTCGGGTTTTATTGAGTACTGTAATTTCATATTTACCTATGTGCTGCTGGGTGTATGAAGGCCCCGAGTAAAAGTTGAGGTGCCTGAATTAATGTCTTATGCTGCCGTGGGAATCAAACCCATGCTATTTTGGATGTGAACCGATTTAATGGCCCCTGATGTATCGAGGGTATTCTCAGTTTTTTAAAATTACAGTACAGTATTTCCATTTGTACCTATTTAATGCTAGGTATTCACAGGAAAGAAGTGTTCATCCTGCCATGGTAATCAAACTCAGACATTGCTGCTTGTGAACCAAATTACTGTGCTATAGGAACCAATGTGCCACTGCATTAAGTTGGTGGATTTCATTTAACTATCTACCTTTGAGCTCAGGAGTTTGTACTGACCTAACTTTATAAAAGTTTTTTGGTTTCTGAATTTTCCTGATATACAAATTTCAAGAAAATCTTAAAATAAATCTGAATCTTGGAATAAAAAATTAAATATTTAATGTGGGTGTTTTATTGAAATAAATCATTTCTTAGGTTGAAAAGAAGCAAAATATGAAGGTCCTGCCTCAATTAGATTCACAATTGTGACTTGTAAGCCAATATAGTGTAATTTTTTCACTTTGGCTACCCATGCTGCATTAATACGTAAATTACCTTCATGTCATTTACCATCATACAAAATTATATGAAAATCCTTGTTTTGAAAAAAAAAAAAATGCATTTTTTTTTTTTTTTTACTTTGTTCTGAATGACACATGTCTAGTGAGAGGTAAGGTAAGTTCCAATAAATGGATAAGATTGTACTTGACAGCAAGAAATGTGGCCACATTAGAAATATACTGGAGGGATAAAGTTTTTCCAAGGTTCAGTTCTAGACCTATTGCTATTCCAAATTCATGGATAGACCTACTCAAGAAATTGCATTCTAGTACATCAGTGTTTAAAGATTAAACAACAATGAAATAGTGAAAACTGATGACCAAAATCCAGTAGCGAGTAGACAACTAACTGGTAAAGAATTTAAATCCAACAAAAATAAAATTAGAAAAGGTTGCAGAAGAAATCTACAGATATCTGAGAAGAGGCTTGAATGTGACTAATTCTAGTACTAATACAAGAAGCTCAATAAACAGAACAACATAAGGGTCATACAGGAAGCTAGTAATTAGTTTTACAGTAAAGAGAGACCAAATAAATTATAAACAGTATTGAACTTTACTAAATTTTATTAATGAATCCAATACTCAATTAGTTAACAACTAATATTTATTGATAATTATAAGATTAAAATTTGAATAACAGTATTTACAGTCATCACAAAATATTTCAAAAGTTTAATAACCTTTCCCTATCATTATTCAGTTTTATTCATTTATATTTTAATTAAAAGGTATAACCATTCAATTTTATCTGAAGAGGAAAATGTTGCCCTTATCTATGGTGCAGTACACTTTTTTTTGTCAGCAATTTGAATTTAAATAATAATGAAAGCACGGAGGGAGAAGGAGACTTAAACTCTAGTAACTTGCGCACGTCGTCTCTTTGAGTGTCTTCTTGAAGCTTCCAACTGTTGATATTGAGGAGATATTTCTCTGAAGATGTCAACCTGCTCCTCCTCTGGTATTGTTGCTCTGAGAAAACAAACATGTAATAGAAAAATACACAAAATATACAGTACATATAAGTTAAAGAGCTGGTCTAATTTATTGCTCACCTTTGAACTAAAAAGTTCTTTGAAATATGGAAACTAAATAGTATCTTATAATAAATCTGTATACAACTGAAAATCATGATTGCTTTAGTCCATAATATCTATACTGTAATAAGACTGAATTTAAGACAAAAAAAAAAAAGAAACTTCCACTGGGTTTCAAAGCCAAAGCTTTATCCTATGAAGCAATTATGCACTTCACAGGAACTCATTGCACTATTGGAAGTTGTGAAAATACTTGAGAAGCAATTAGCCTAAGTTGCATTGTGAATATAAATGAGATAAGGCTACTTTTTTTTATTTTGTGATTTGCTGTCAAGGTAGTTACTTGTGGGAAGTGTTAACAAGTACATCAATTGTCTGAAGTAAGTTATTGCCACAATGCAAATGTTACTTTGCTAGCTAAATCATAAATAAGCCATGTAGGCACTGATATATAATGATAGATCAATAACAATACATACCTGTAATCTTTCATGAGATCATACTTCTCCCATGGTTTCTCCAGCAATTTTGCACGTTTATAGAATTTTTCAGGTAGACCTAGGTCCATTACGCCCTGTAGATTTTTTCTCTCCCACCGCTCATGCCATGGCCGACCTCTTAATTGCACCTGAAATGATAAATGCGGTTATCATATGGTAAACAAGTGAAGATAATAACTGCTAAATACATTAATATTTGGTTGAAAATGCTTTGCTTAAATAAGATTAATTTACAATTTTTTGTTCAGGTAAGCACTAATCAGACTTTACACTGCAAGCCTTATAAAATGCTCACATATACAAAAAATTTACATAGGTACATGTACCAGCAATTTTTTTAGTAGTAAAAAGTACCAGCTTTTATCATTACAGTACCTCTATTTCCCACTTTTATAGTTGGAAGAGATAATAAAAAAAACCAGCTGGTTTTCTGGGGGGAGCCCCGTCGGCTCCCCGGAGCTAACTACCCACAGAGGAAGGTCAAAGGGACAAAACCGGGAGGCGGACACCACGCACCCCCCAAGGAGGCGAGACAACCGGCAGCAAACGCCAACCCAAGGCGCCACAGCCCCGAAAATCCCGGGAACAACACGAGAACCACGAGCAGCAAGGCCCCTGCACGAACACCAAAAATCCATGCCCGAAAGACTGCAAGGCCACGTCGCCCAGACGGCAGCGAGAGCAGCGAAGCCACGAACGCCACAGGCATGAGGGAAGAACACAGGCAGCTTAGCCGCAAGAACACGGCTGACCACCCGGGACACCATCACCCGCTGGAGCCGGAGCACATAACCATTGCCTATAGCATCAGCCGAAGAACTGATGGGTGGATAGCCGGCGTGGGAGGTCTGGGGCTCCCCCTTCCCCCTCCCGGGGAGGGGGGAGCTGCGCAGACAGCGGCGCGGTGACGTATGACGTCATAAGTAATTGAGCAAAAGGTTATAGACATTAAACAATAATATATTAAATAATACTTGTCCATCACAATATAATTCATAACACAGTATAACATCATAGATAAACAAGCAACTACTGTACCACGATCCAGCAGTAACCAACCATTTCATAACACCAGATATTCTGGGCTCTTTATGCAATATGGACACTTGATAAAGGATATCTATAAACATGTTAAAATAATTATCTAAATCATAATGTTTTACACCACCTACTATTGACAATTCCAACTACAAATACTAACAATGTATTATACTTCAAAGAAATTCAAGAGATGACTAATCTCCAACACTAGGTGAATTTTACAATAGGGTTGGATATAGCTTACTTGAATTCCTGTGGACACCCAAGATCTTTGGGATATTATAAATATGCAATGCATATACTAGTGAAACTCTTAAAGACTGAGAGATGAATACCTGGCTTAGAAACCACACTGCAGTACTCAATATCCTAGCCTCTACTATCATGTCATCTACAAAAATATTTAAGTTAATTTCTCAGTTGGTGTTGCATCTACAGACAAGATTCTGGTGTCATTTTATAAAACATCTCTTCATTAAATTCATAAAGATTCCCTAAAGGTTAATAATGCATATTTAACATTGAAAACCAATAAATTTTTAACATGGCTGGTGACTGCTCTACATTACCTTAAAAGTGTGTTAAAAGTTATTCTTAAAGATCAACATTCAAATACTTTGAAATTGCTACACCTTACATTTATGCCTCAGATTACTCATGTAGTTGTGAAGCGTTCTCAAAAGAAAACCTACAATTTGTGGTGGTAAAACGGCATAAAAAGGATACATAAAACAATTTGAAATTAACCCACAAGTTTCTAGTACTGAATTAATTAATTTGTCTTGTTGGTAAAAGAGCGAGATATTATGAGTGAGAGAGGGAGGGAGCATGCATGTGTAATTACCTAATTACATAAGTGTACAGTATTTACAGGATGAAATCTACGCTCACGGTGTTCCGTCTCCTAAGCACTCTTGTCATATAACGCTTTGAAATTACTGAAATTATTGTATGTGAAAATTTAAATTACTGTGTGTGTAGTGAGGGTGGAGGGGTGGCAACTGCACTACAAGAACCACAAATATAAAGTAATGTAAAGCATTAACTCGCAAAACCTAAGCAGATGAGGAGTCACAATAATGTGGTTGTAAATATAATAACCAAACCACACATCAGATGGAAAAATGACGACGTTTCAGTTCGTCCTGAACATTATCAAGACACATGCGAGGAAAATACAAAACAAAACCTACCTTTAGAGGATTAATTGGTACAGGAGCTCCTTCCTGCAGAATCTCAGGTATCATATCCAGAGGAAAGGTAGAGTATTCAGGTAAAGCATCACGGAGATACAGAAGCTCATCATCCAGACGCTTCTCCAGTCGCAACACCTCAATATTTTGAATTAACGGAGAATACATTTCATACCTGATTTCAATGCCTAGAGAAAAAGAGAAATGAGATACTGTATAAAGTATTTTAAAGGATGTGAAGGATGAAGAACATACAGTATTTTACAGTACATGTTATCAAAAATTAATTAAGACAATTATATACATATATATGTATATATATAATTATACTTATATATTTATTTTACTTCCATTATTTAAGCCAAATTAATTAAGGATGGGTTCTGTCGGCGTGTACTCTCGAGTACGGCTTTCAAGCTCGTACACTTACATGTGTTGAACTAGGGTCCAAAATGATAATGAAAAATGTCAATTATTTTCCTCCATGTTTTTTTTTACTTACCTTGATGATCAATTACATTTCGAAGAATAAACCATGATCGTAGACCTGTTCCACCACGTTGAATACAAATCCCTACAAATCGATTTGTTTTGCCTGAAGCATTGGGATCTCCAACAGACACAGCCATGATGGAACCTACAAGATAAAATCTCTCAGATAAACATGTTCCATAATTATGAGAAAATGCAAATCCACATACTGTAAGCAATGAACATTACTTCTATAATGAACATTTTTGTTTCCATATCCATATCATGTTAACATTTTTAAAACTTAAAAGATGTGAAAAATGCCTCCCCTCATTAAATATTTAATAGTTGTTTGTCAGCCCTGGTTCTGTCCAATGAAGTTTGGATTGGGGAAAGATATAGAAGTGGGCATTGCTTAGAATACCTTAATCATAAATTTCATCATTTAGGACATTTTCCAGTGGTGTATCCTGCATGTTAGGTATTTTTTGCTCGTGTTGGTAAAATTCCTGTAGTGAAGTAGCACATGCTCACCTAAGATAGCATACAATATGTGAGACACGACTTTGAATATCTTCTAATAGATAATGTTTATGTAAGAAAGCAGTGTCCAATTCTTATTTGTTTTTGTCATCTCAACATATAATGATACTATAACTGCATTATCCTGGGGCTCAACATATGATGACAACCACACTTTAAGGGTTAAATTTCAGTAAATCACATTTGAGCCTCAAGACCATGCAGCCATCTTGCACCTAATTCTGTGAACTTTCACCAGAGCATAGGTAACCTGGCACCTCTTACCAACTAGTGTTATATGTTCCCATACATTAAATGGGTCAGAAACATAACTCAGTAATTTGCTATAAAAAAAATACATCATTCTTTTGGTCCATACAAGTTATAGAATACAGAAAGGAAAAATTTATAGATTGAGTAATGAAAAATGATAAAATAAATAATAAAAATAAAGAAACGTTTACCTACCAACATAAAACTCAGGGATTTCCATAATAGCCCTGCGTGCCAACATATCATGCCGTTCCAGCTTTTCGCGGAGTCTGTTTCTCCATTCAGGTTTTGGATCAGGCAGAAACTCTGGAAACGCTATCCTGGTAAATGAGAGCCAAATTCAATGTATGTTTTAAGTGATGATCCTTATGTTAAGTGTCCAATAATCTAGATATTACCCCAACATCAATTGATGAATATCAATTATAGTACAGATTGCAACATGCTTTACAAACGCAGAGTATCTGAAAATGCCAGTTCCCAATTTGGGTTGAAGGGGTGGTGGGGGAGGTCTGTCAGTGGTTGGGCAGGGATGGGCTCAATCCGATAATGCTTATGACACTTGACCCCGTTGGCCAGAATTTTGTCTTTAATTGTTGATGTACATCATATATATTTTTGGTTACAGATTTTGTTTATTAACATTATTAGGATAATAAAAATATATACAAATACTTGTTTTATGAATGTTATTGTATTAGACGGAAACTCTCTAGGCTATTTCTGGCTGGCAATCTAATGAGCTAGTCACCTACCAGCAGGTTCTCTTGGGGTGAGAGGGAGAGCAACAGTGAGGGTGGGAGGGAAAGCATCAGTGTGGGTGGGAGGGAGAGCACCAGTGAGGATGGGAGGGAGAACAGCAGCGAGTGTTGGAGTAAAAGCATCATTGAGGGTTGGAGGAAGAGAGGCAGTAAGGGTCCTAGGCAATGAGGGAGCACCAGTGAGGATGGGAGGGAGAACAGCAGTGAGTGTTGGAGTAAAAGCATCATTGAGGGTTGGAGGAAGAGAGGCAGTAAGGGTCCTAGGCAATGAGGGACTGAGGTAATGAGAGAGAAATGAGGAATTTGTATATGAAGTTTTTGAAAACAAGAGCGAAGGGAACGAAACAAATATACCTGTAAATTAAAAAGTCTTTTACAAAGGTCTCCAAGAAAGCTCACATTGCACCACCTGCACCTGACTCATCACATGTTGACCCAAATTCTTCAACATCTGAGGTTACCTCATCACTATTAATCTCCACTTCAGTCAACCCAACACCACCAACATCCACCACCACCTCTTCCGTGTACAGTATATAACAATGCTCCATCAACAATAAAAATCAAGTTAGAAAGTGGATCAGGACGTCTCGTATTGTTTTGAGTACAAACAAAAGACTGTCAAATTATATCTTGAAATTTTAAATTTTTTCCCCCAGATTTTCAGGATGACAAGACCACATATATAAACACAAGTTATCCGACTAGTCTCAGCCCCGAGGGGGTTTGTAAAGCACGTGGCTGTCTCAATGTATCAGATTGAAGAAAATTAAGCTAATATCAATGCTTTATTATCTGTATAAAGATTCATTGTAGGCTACATCTTAGCAAAATTTTAGTTTATCTCTGAATATAGTATCTCTAGTTTTGATGCTTTGTGTTCTCTTTCCTTTAAGGGGCTGGCAATATGCAAAATCTCCTTTAAAATGTCTAACTTTATGTAGGGAATAGTACCCAACCACTTGGACCATCAAGGATAAAACCCTGAACCTGCAAGGAGCAAGTACCAACCAGTTCATGTGGATGGGAAATTATTATGTCCTTTAATATTAATTTTAGCTTGTTTACTTCACTATTACTGTATTTATTTAAGGCAAAGTAGAAAAATACCTGAAGTCATGAGGCATTTGTAGCTGTTTTTCACTGTCACCATCCTGAGCTTTCCTATAGGGAAGAACTTTTGCTGTTGAAACCTGGGCAGGTCCTTTTCTAAACCATTTAAAACCTATGAATGAAACGCAGGTAAAATTAAAATGTTACTGTATATGGTATTTTGACAAGGTCATGAACTTGAATTTTAGTTATTTAGTGCTGTAATAAAACTATATTACATATAGTTTTATAGAAATTATATATATATTACTATATATAGTAATATATCTCTATATATATTATATATATTAGATGGGTAACACTTATAACCTTATATCTGCTTAAGGGGATTCTGTAAATACTGTAAATGTATATGGATTATTCACATAGGGTAATCAATGGAAGCAATCCTGGCCTCCAACTTCAAATAATAATTTTAAATTAAAATATAAATGCCTCCCAGAAAAAATGTCTAAAATGAACCAGATAACTGCAGAACAAAATTTCTTATTTGGTACATATAAATTATAATTTGTAAATGTACCTATTATAAGAAAAAATCCCTTAATTGATTTTTTTTCAAAATATTTACAAGGTTAGCCGGCACCCAGTGCCAAAAAACATCATGGGGTCTGAATGTGACCCTGCCACGCTGTTCCATTTTTAATTCTGGCAACCCCAACCAGCCAAATTTCATCCCGGGCCACAGATCATTATCTCTGACAATCTGAGTGAAATTAGGACCAAGCGTCTGGCCTCCAACTTTGAAAAACTCTCTCTCTCTCTCTCTCTCTCTCTTATATAGAAACAGTACAGTATATGAGTGAAGTTATGTGTATGGAACTGATGGTAATGTTAAATGCCAATGTATGATTTGATCAGACCCAGTACAATAAGATCATATCACAAAGTATGCATACTGTAGGTAGTGCATTGTAAACTTTCCACCACTGTTCACTAGATGGGTGTGGGGTGCATGATTAGTGAGGATGCAACTGGTTCACCGCAGATGTTAATTGTTCGGTTTAGACTTATGGTCCAATTCTTGAACCATTTGTGCTATAAAAGGCAATTTATATATTTATATATATTAAACTGTGTATATAACTTAACACATCTTATCATCCTTGAGAATGAATAGGTAGTATAGTCGGGTTCGTTCTCGTCACACAATCGAGAATTCTGGGCTCGAATCCCAGGTGGGACAGAAATTGTTGAGCGCATTTCCTATCACCTAATGCCTCTATTCACCTAGCAGTAAGTAAGTACCCAGAAGTTGGCTTGTTGTGAGGTTGCATCCTGGGGGAGGTCACGGTAATTCGACCCTGGGAGGGACCTCTATATAAACCTATCGTATAAATATACTTTGGCTGCCTGTCTCCCGACACAATAAATTATTATTATGAATTAATTATCAGATTGCAGTGTGATAGCTAAATGAATTTGGGGAATTGGTTTCTAAAATAATTGACAGTGTATCCCTATGTACTTAAATCATTCAAATTCAAATGTTTATTCAGGTAAAAGTACATACATAGAAGATGAGATACAAACATAATGTTGGATTTATAGAGCTAGTACATACAATACCTAAAGCCACTAATACGCTTGGCGTTTCGGGCAAGGTGTGGGGGGAAAAAACACTTAAGACTAAAACTTAATACTAATTGAGATTCAAATATAAATTGTGTTGAAATGGTTGGAGGGGACATGGCAGAAATCAGCAATTAAACGAGTTGGTCATTGAAAATAACACATGGGTTGACATTCAGGGGGTAAGGCAGGTGATGGAATATGCAATTCGTTCCTATTTAAAGATATTTCTCATTTGATTAAAGGGCATTGTATCACATAACATACCTGAGAATTGTCTTGGTGCGCTCAATATCCTCGTTGAGGTGATATTCTTTAAGATGAAAGAAGTTTTTGTGGTAATGCCGGCCATTTTCATTTGTTTACTTCATCACAGTTGCCATACGTGGTAGCAGGGAACGTTTAGCTTTGAAAATGGTTCAATCAATATAATGAATTGATATACAAAATATAGGACAACAAATATATGGCACAACAAATATATTGCACAATAAATATATATAGCACAATAAATATATATATGAATGTTTATTTAGGCACGAGTTCATACATAAAAGCAATAGCGCAATAAATATATCGTTGAACAAATATTTAACAAACAAAACATAAAGCCCAATAACCAAGTAAATGTACTCTACGACAATTTAGAGCACAATATAATTCCACGTGACTAGCCATCCTATGAAATGGGAGTTATTAGATGAATTCACAGCTAGTCTTTGATCTAAACTGTAATTCGTTATACAGAATAGGGTAGAATACACATTTATTTATTTATTTATTTATTTATATTGCTGTGTATACCTAAACCTGTTAATAAACAAAATTATTTGCAGGATGCTCGTATAAAATATTAATATTTGTAAATGTGTATAGATTTATACTAATCGTATATTTTAAGCTCGAAGTGTATTTATATTTATAGGTTGTTAGTGATGATAACTATAGCTGTTTTTTTGTTTTACATAATGTTTTGGTGACCATAATTGATGGTTTATCAAATATGGTAATATCAAACAACCTTATCATTGTGTTCATTGCTGTCTTCTTTTATGTGCTAGCCATATGCTGTATTGTGACTACCAATTTTTGTCAACTACCATTCAAGCTGTCATTGCAATCAATCTTATATTGTTTCTGCTGTATTGTGCCTACCAATTTGTTGTCAACTACCATTTTAAGCTGTCATTGCAATCAATCATAGCTACCTATGTGCTTTAATATACTGTACCTATAATTTTCTCTCATTTTTTTTTCATTCCATGTAATCTGTTAGCATTTTTTTGTCTATAAATTTTGCAAGTATTTACCTCCTTAAAATTTTCTTAGATTAAGGACCTGCCCGAAACGCTGCGCGTGCTAGTGGCTTTACAAGACTGTAATTACCATAATTGTATCCTCACATTCCTTATGTACATTCTTGTATATGCATAAATAAATAAATAAATAAATAAATAAATAAATAAAGTTTAAGTAAATTCTCGCGGCGTTGGCACAACTATGCACAGGAGACCTCTGGCGGGTCTGATGGATACTACTGTTACCATGGCAATACAGACGCCGCCTCGGACACTGGTGCAAAAATAATAATACAGCATTAACAGCGATAAAACTACGTTGGATTGTGTATCGCAATCTCCACTAATGTTGAGTTGTATATTTCATCAACTGAAACTTGAGGTGACTAAAAAAGATTTCTTCCTTTAATGATTGCAGTATAAAACTAGATAATTACCAGAATTTACCTGAGAGCCATTAAGACTAGTGGCCTCGATGATGACAGGAAGCCGGCTGCTTGTCAAAGGTCCCTATTTGCTATAAATAATAAAAAGTGCAAGAATAATAATAATAATTATTATTATTTTAAATCTCTAGTTTTATACTAAAGTTAATCATTTTGATTTTGTTCATTTATAAATATCCCGTTTGCTAACTGAATGTAGTAACTAAGTGATTGTAACCTATCCACCGCTGCCCACTGGATGGGAGGCAGTATGGAGGATACATATCTCAATTATGATACTAGCTTTCCATATAAGCCAGTTGCTTAATTTAGAAAATATACTTGGGATCGGTCTCTAGCCCATTGTTGATGTGACGATGTGCATTGAATTTTGTAACTAGCTCATTAGGATTGTAACTTGCTTAGCTACATGAATTGTTGGGTTCATCCCTGAGCCCATTATGTGCCTCTGTAAACCTTTCCACTACCGCCCATGATGGGTATGCGGTGCATAATAAATGAGCTAAACTAAACTAACTTCATTTATCATGACCCCAAGATTCATCCTATGAGCTGTAGTGGAAAAGTGAGAGGCATAATGGGCTCAGGAACTGAACCCCAAAGTTCATTTAGCTAAGTAATTTGCAATTTTAAAATACCTATAGTTGTAATTAAATAAATGTCAAATCTTTTATGCCAAAATTGGTTCAAGTATTGGACCACAACATTCTCAACGCTAAACAGTTTATATCTGTTTTGAGCCAATCGGTACTTTTTACATTAGTAGTAGACATCCATCAGTCTCTGGAGACTATGAAGTTGTGCTCTGGTTGTCGGTCTGGAGTGGCCTCTCCAGGGCGCAAAGCCAGGGTAGGTTGATATGGGGGAGAAGCTGTCACCCATGCAGCAGGTCATCCCCTCTCCACGGCGCTGAAAGTCTTCAATGAAAAAGCAAACGCCAATACGATTGATTCCAGCGCCGTCGCAGGAACTATCAGAACGAGGTGGAAGGTAACATCGAACTGCCCCCAGGGGCTCCAGCTCCGGAGGTTACATCGAAGTTGGTAAAAGAAGGCATTTATGAACATTAGTTCATTTATTATGCACCCCATACGCATCCTGTGGGCAAATAGTGGAAAGGTTACAGATGCACATAATGGGCTCATAACACTTTCTTCCGTAGTGCAAGGGAGATTTTTGAGGTGCAGAGAATGGTAGTCAATTATATAAGGACCTAATGAAGATCACGTAGAACATTCTGACATATTTAACATTAATATTAATGTATTTTCAGGAAATGTTTTAACGGGTTTTAGTATTTCTTTAAACCTTAGCTGTAGTTCGCTTACAATCTCACTTTTATTGTTCACACCGAGATATATGTATTGCCTGCTTAATCTCTAACTCTTGAATGCAAATCAGTAGGCTTGGCAAATTCTCTCAAAGTAAAAATGAACGCAGTCAAGCACTGTATATAGTGATACAGTGAGGGTAATCTTTTTAATTCCTGAAAAATAATTACTTTATTTTTTCAGAAAAGAAGATGGCCACCGGAGAGAATTTTTTTTGCACTTCAGTCGGAGAGAAGCGAGGCATCCCACCCCTCAGGCTACAGCGTAGTCAATCAGCCCGTCCACGGAAGCCTTTGGACGCTCGTGCCTCCGCCAGGATGCGTCTTCCGTCTGCAGTTGTCAATTCTAGCAACACCCAAGGCCATACATCTCCACCTGACCACGCTGAAACCATCATGGAGGAGCTGGAGCTCACAGAAGAAAGACCCCGAGAGACACAAGAATCCCGTAGTGGTAGTATTGAAACTGACTATCACACCAAATCATCAACCAGTAGTTCATACCACACCAGTGACGCCTTTACATCAGCACCTTCATCTCAGGAGAAGCTAAAGACACACCTCTTGCCTCTTAAGCATAGCAGAGATCAAGAAATATCTCTTAAGCGACCCAAATCCTCTGTTGTGAAGAGTGATAAACAGAAGAAACTGAAAGTTAAGACACAACCAGCAAGGGAAGTACTGATGGTCCCCGAAGAGGAAGACATGGAGTTTCCTCCCGTGGTCCTCGATTGTTTCAAGACAAAGGCTGTGTTAGCCAAGGTATGTATTATTTGCCGATGAGTCACAATAACGTGGCTGAAGAATGTTGACTAAACCACACACTAGAAGCTGAAAATACGACGACGTTGTGGTCCATCCTGAACCATTATCAAGTCGATTGTGAAGAGACGATTAATTGATGAAGATTGATGAAGAGTAAGCCACCCAAAAGGTGGCACGGGCATGAATAGCCCGTAAGTGGTGGCCCTTTTGAGCCATTACCAGTATCAAGAGCTGATACTGGAGATCTGTGGAGGTGCGGCTGCACCCTGCGTAATGGAAGATGTCTCCCGTGTGTCCCCTCTGAAAGAGACGATTGATTGATTGATAAAGATTAAGCCGCCCAAAAGGTGGCACGGGCATGAATAGCCCGTAAGTGATGGCCCTTTTGAGCCATTACCATGGAGATCAGTGGAGGTGCGAGTGCACCCTGCGTGACGGGAGATGTCTCCCGTGGAAGAGACGAGAAAGGCACAGGCATAAGTAAGGCAAGATTATTGCCCCCTACAAATCCTTTATCACACCTATCTTTCGACTTGCTTTTACCTTCCTCTAACATTTCCTCCTCCTCGTCCCTTTCTCACCTTACTTATGCCCGTGCCTTTTTCGTCTCTTCATTATGGGCTATTCATGCCCGTGCCACCTCTTGGGTGGCTTAATCTTCATCAATCAATCGTCTCTTCACAATCGACTTGATAATGGTCCAGGACGGACCAAAACGTCGTCGTCTTTTCATCTTCTAGTGTGTGGTTTGGTCAATATGTTTTATTTATTCGTCTTTACATTAAACATTTATTTGAGTAGTTTGTGTATTCACAATGAGAAAACAATGAGAGTATTTTGTTTTAAGATTGTAGCTTCCATAGTACTTTAATTGTTGTTGTATCTTGGATTTATTATTTTATATAGCTGTGATGGTTATTGTATTAATGAAGGTGAAGGAAAGACCCAATATATGTGTAAGTATATTAAAACCAAATTTTCGGATGCAACGTACATCCTTTCTCAAAGTGCTGTAGACAGTGTTTAGCAGAACATTACTTACAGCACCTTACAATGTAGTTACAATGACGACAAATAATACTGTATTTGTTGTCATTGTAACTACTGATGATGGCTCCTGTACGTGGACCTATAGTGCTGTATCGGTCGTTACTCTAGTACTGCTGAGAATGGTGCCTGTGTGTGAACCAATAATACTGCATATTAGTCACTAACATTAATAATAGTGGTCCCTATATGTGGACCTATAATAGTGTATGTGTCGTCACTGTAACAATGCTAATGTGGTCCCTGTATCAGGCATTATGTTACTGTATCTGTCGTCACTATAGCACTGCTGATGGTTGTCCTTATATCAAGCACTATAATACTAAATTTGTCGTCACTAACGCTGGTAATGGTGGCCTTCAGCGTGTGAGCAACGTGTTGACCCCCAGTGAGAGGATCGGCTGCAACTTCACCCCATACTCCTACTTGGTGAGGATCCCGCCAAGGTTTCCACAAGGCCGCCAACACTACTCCGTTCTGCCCTACATACTCCAATACAACACTAGGGTTAGTACTACACCTCCAGCCTGTCCTGCA